TGGGCCTAAATCCAACAGACGGTTCTTCTAGAACCCCTGATTGGAGCTCTAGGATTTCGGTCCTTTTGTGTCAATTAGTTAGGGATTGTGGTTTTGCGGTCGTTGGGAGATCGTGTTGAAGTCCTTCAAGATTTTGGTGCCTCTCTCCATGTCGTTTGACTAAGTCTAAAGCTGCCGGACTGTGTTCTTGAGTTCGTGGAGATTGAATCGGGTTCAAGGATTTAATGCCTCTCTTCCTATCACTTGTCCACATCTCGACCTTTATTAGGTACAAAAGTATTTTATCTAGGCTGGATTTTCAACAAATTATCCCTTGTTTGTACCTACTATAAGATTGGACCTCCCCTCGAGTTGGTCCCTATCAGCGTCTCTCTAGAAGGAAGACAAGCTAGGTTGCTTATTTGCCAAGGCAGACAAGACCATGAAAAATAGAAAGGAGTGCTTGAAGTAGCAGAAGAATGCATAAGGTAAATTCCCTGGAAAAAACCGAATGCACGGAAAAAGGAAAAAGTAGATGAGGATACGTGAAACCTAAGGGAAATCAACTGAGCAAAGCGTACGTACCTAGCAGGCTAGGTATCTAAAATTGTTCTCCAGCTTGTGACAGTCTTCTTGTGAAATCTGCTTTGAACTCATTCTCTTCCTCTATGTCAAACAAACATAGTACAATCTTTCCTTGGGTCCTAGCTACCATGAAAACATAGTACAGCCTTTTCTTTTATCTCGCCGCAAGTGAAGGATAAATGCTTTATTTCCATCTTGGACGGCACGATGTTGGCATAAAGGGATAAAACATTTAAACTTAGAAAAAAAACCTTCAGCATTATTTTCAGATAGTTAAACAAAATGAAAGTCACACTAATAGAACGAGAATATCCTTGATGGCACGATAGGAAATAACCATTAGGGATAGAACGATAGGGAAATTTAAAAATGTCTAACCTTAGAAATAATTTCTGTAACAGTACTTGGCTGATAAGAAAAATTAAAACCCAATAGGGATAAAAATATACCTTTGTGGACGCCTATCGACAGGGAAATTGGACATCACCAACAGAAAAAATCAATTTTTGGGGACAGCACTGACAGAACAAAATGATTCTATACATAATTCACAAAAACAATAGATTTAGTACAATTTTAACAGAAACATATTGCACTATACATAATGCATGTGCCCCCATTGATATTTAATATACATAAACAAATCATTAGTACCATGAATCCAATACACACAAAGATGTCCTACTATTTACATCAATAGCCACATACATAAAACAACCAAAGATAGCATTCATCTACTGAAAGCAACAAGTTCTTTAAATACTAGGCATCAACATGGCAGGCGTAATTTTTTTTGGCACAGACACTACTAGTTAAAGGTTAGTAACTATACTCCGTGCTTTCAAGAAAGCATCCATGCATTGGGTGTCAGTTCAAAGGAGTTCAGCTCCAAAACCTGAAATTTTAACATGGCTAACAAATATGCATATGTCGCACGCACATGTATATAAAAACTATTTTAAATGCAATAAAGAAATGTACATAAAAATTACTATAATAGACAATATTAGTTACACTCTATATGCAACACCCTGCTTTGTCTGCACAAGAAGCCGAGGTTCGTTACCCTCTCGTGGCCACCAGTGCCCGAACGCCCAACCTCCCTCCTGCTTCGTTTGTTCGTCCCCTAACAACTCCACTTGTAAGACACTTGTGTCCAAATGAGATATTTGTCATAGCCATTTTATGTTTATCTTATTTCGAAATGAATATTTGGGACCCTCAATAAATTCAAATGAAAAAGTTCTCAACTACAAAGTTTTATAACTTTTCGAGATCGACAACTTTCGTTTTGGTTATTTCTCCATCCGAGGTCATTGAATTTCAAATGTGAGAAAATTAAACCATAATTTTCCTTAGATAGAAGATTTCAAATGAAAAAGTTGTCAACTACAAAGTTGTATAACTTTTTAAAATCTACAACTTTTGTTTTGGGCGTTTCTTCATCCAAGATCGTTTGAAAATTCAAATTTTAAATTTGATAAATCAAACGTAATTTTCGTTAGGCTGATGATTTCAAACGAAAATGTTGTCAACTATAAAGTTGCATAACTTTTCGAGATCTACAAATTTTGTTTTGGGCGCTTCTACATCCGAGATCCTTAAATATCACTACACACTCTATGACTATGGAACATATGGCTTTAGTGGTTGATAACTTTTATGAAATCTTGCGAATCAAATAGATGGACATCATAACGACTTCAAACAAAAAAGTTGTGAACTATAAAGTTACATAACTTTTTGATATATACAACTTTTGTTTTGGGCGCTTCGCCATCCGAGATCATTAACTACAACTTTATACTCACTTATCACTATGGAGCATATGGACTCTTTTGGTATAAACTTTATAAAGTCTTGAGGTGTATATTTAGACATCCAAATTATCTCAAATCAAAAAAGTTTTAACTATAAAGTTGTTGATCTCGTCGAGTACTACAATTTTGATATAAAGTTCGTCTTCATTAGACATCATATACGAAAGTTATGAAGTTTTTTTAAAATATTACTGTTGGTTCAAGCCATGAACCGGTAGCGACAGTATCAGTGTTAGTTTTAGCAAAAAACCAGCAATGATGACCCAATATCATTGCTGATTCTTGGCTAAAATCAACAGTAATATATGAACCGATACTTAAGACCTGAATATCAGTGTCGTTTGGTCCTACCACTGTCGGTTTTAGCAAAAAACCGATAGTGATGTGCTATCACAGCCGGTTTCTTAAAATCCGACAGTGATAGAGCTAGCAGTGATTCGTGATACATGAAATCCACGTTTTAATATGTTGAATGTATATTTTTGACGTTTCCTCAAAAGAAAAGTATATTTTGACCATTTTATTCATAAAACAAAATAAAAAAAAATGTACTATTGGCCCACCAGTTGATCCCGTCACCAGTTTTAGCAGTAGGCCCCTAGAGTTGCTAAAAAAAAGCAGTAGGCCCTAGCAAGATTCGATGCATGGTTGAGACTTGGTGACAGTCATCCTGTGAAATCCGCATTGAACTAATTCTCTTCTTCCAAGTCAAACAAACGCAGTACAATCTTTTCATGGGCCCTACCTACCAATGAAAACATAGCACAAGCTTTTCATCTTTATCTGGTCACAAGTGAAGAATAACTGATTTATTTCCATCTTGGACCGCACCTTGTTGACATAGAGAAAATTAAACAATTAATCATGAAAATAAAACTATGATAGTGTTTTCATTTAGTTAAATATAACTAAACTCATATAGGACTATAGAATTTAGAGCTTTAGATTCAATCATTTGAAATATATTACTTGTAAATTTTTACTTTGAGCAAAAAAGTAATGGCCAAGAATACAAATTAGAATTTTTTAACAAAAATTGAATTCATATGTAAGTATTATAAAATTTGACATCTCCAATTTTCAAACTCAAATGTACATTTGTCATTTTTAGTCACACAATTTGGAGCTTCCAAAAATCATTTTTTTAAATTTGAATTGTACATTTATGATTTTTACATTTTACTAAAGATTATCGATGAACTACATAATTATATTTTTGAATTTCAAGTTTTCACAATTTTGAAAAAGATTGAGAATTTGAATGTATAAGGCTCACAAGTCAAAACAATTATTTAAACATGTAAATTTTAACTCCACTGTAAAAGATTTTTTTGTGAGCATAAAAATAGATTAATTCGAATGTTAAACATTGGTGCCCCTGCACGGCGTCTACTCAGTTGACAAGGATGCGAATTAAGTAGTATCCTCTGGAGTGGATCACTAGTAGAGACTAGTATAGTGCCCGTGCTAACGCTACGATAGCATTTCAGGGATGCTCAAGAAAACAACCTATTTTTTATAGTTTAAGTTTCACGCAATTGTATTTCACCATGTATATAATCCGGAAAACACTCATGTATATCACCAGCAAGTTCAGCTCAAGCCTAAAAAAAAAGCAAGTTCAGGCTATGAAATTATAAGCCCATGCTAACGCTATGGTTCATGAAGTTACAAGCCCATACTCATGTATATCACCATAGCAAATATACTTGAGTAACATTGCAAATAAAATCACAGCTATTATATCTTTTGGAGCCATCTTAAAGGATTAATCTGTTCTATGGTTCATGGTAACAATGAAATGAGATGGCCGGAGCCCATCGTGCGTATTGTGTGTCAAAGCAAAATGACAGCATCAGAGTGCTTGGCAGGCCTGTCGTCTCTGTCCCCCATCCGGGTTTGCAGACAGCCACTCCGCCGTTGCTGCCTGCGGCCTACTGATGCATTTAAATCACCAAAAGAAATCTAAACTATGACACGAAAGGAAAGCTCCAATGCATTCTTTCATTAACAATGACAAAGGGCAAAATTTTTTGCTAAACTTCACCTCTGTAGTTTTTTCTCCACTGCATTATTTTATTAAAATAAAATAAAAGATGGGTTCACCTTTTTAATGTTTGCTTGCTTCAATTCTGAAATCTCTTGAACTCCTTTGTGCTAACAAATTGGAGAATGATTGAACCACTAGCCAAATGCTGACCATAAGCATGAACTGTATATTCAAGTATCACTGTGCACTATGTTGTGGTCATCCTTTAATCTGAAATATGACATGACCATGGAGCTTCAAGATGACGATGATATAAAATGAAGCTTGCAAACAATATGTAGAGCAACCATCTAAAAAAAATAAAGAAAAAGGTAACCAATAAGTGAAATTAGATATTAGAAATGGTAATAGATTAACTGAAGACTTATGTTACTTTTGGATGTCTTGAACTTAAAAAGGGATTTGGGACCTTTCAAGTGTGATTCAGTAGACAATATACGGGGGCATATAATGTGCAAATGAAAGAATAGAAACATGTGAGTATTGCTAAACAAAAGAGCCATCATCCTAGCTTGCTATCTAACGCCTCTTCTAACATTATCAAAATGGGGTGAATTAGCACCCACTTATACTGCCATATTACTATTGCATGAAGATTCCTGGAAAACAGAAGAGAAGTTTTTCAGAATATTATTTAACTACTCCAACACTCGCTGCTTATATACGTTTAGGTAATTTTCTTGAAATGAAAAAGCATAAAAATTCTTGTTCGCATTTCAGAAACATCATCCCAAGTTCTAGCTCTTTCACTGTTACCATCTTTCACAGAGAGAAGAGAAAGGAATACTCACTGCCATGTCCATTCCTTTCCCTAGTAAACCCCACAGAGCTTCCTCCACATGAGCTTTGTCAGAATTTGTGAATACCTGCAGTAACCAAATGTAGGCTAATAAAAATGCTCTCTGCGACCATTTTTCCAAACATACCATTTCATAATACAGCATGAGTTACCTTAAGGCCAGCCATTGTAGTGCCATATTCCTTGTACAGGTCCAGGCACATATCTGCAATTTGGCATTCTTCAAACATTCAAATCATTCGTTGACTATCTGAAAATTCAAGAAAACAACAATTAACTGAAGACATGTTATTTCATTTCATCAAATCATTAAAGTGAGTGCAGCTTTGCTTTACCTTCAAAACAATAGCTCCACCTGTGGAGTACCCAAATAAGAAGCACGTGGCAAACCACAGTTTTCCTCCAGCTAGTATATTTGCCCGTGCTAAGGCTACATATTAACCCTATACTTCCAGAACAAAATTCTTAAAAGTATTCCATCAGGCCTACATACAATTGCAGCAATGATCATATTCTGTTCCTTTTCCTCCTCTCCAATGCATACTGGTGATAGAACTTTGTATTGCGATCACCTCTTTCTAACCAATTAACATGGACGGGTTGCTTCTATTATAAGTCCTTTTGTTCATCCAGCCTATCTAGCAATGACAATATTAGTAGAATAGGGAATATTACTTGGAAAACTCAAATAAGAAAACCACAGAGAGCGCTAACTGCTAACATTAGTGACAATCACCAATGACAACTGAATGCACTTTCCCTGCAATTATAATAAAAACTATGAATCCCATGCCATTAACAAAAGAAAACCCTGCCAAACTATTTGTCTAGCAGGATTCACAAATGGAGCTTGCGAACAAGTTCCTGAAAAATAGAAAACAGAAAAATGTGAGGCACGTATAGCATGCGCCCACTTCGTAAGAGAACATGGAATTTCACAAGCAACCTAAGAAATACCTCATGCTCTCTGTTTCTACTATCATACTGAACTTCTATTCAGTTCTATAACCTCTGTAGCACAGTCTCAACAAATGTATACACCTACATAACACAGGGAAATCAACTTTAAGAGAAATAAATAACAAGAAATAAGGTATTTAAACATGCAAACAGAGAACATCACATAGGAGAGGTAAAAGGTAAATTAAAATACAATCATGTCTCTTTTTTTGTTTTAAGTAGTGGCCTGGACTCAACTTTTAGGGCTGCTTGTTAATAGTTGATAAACTTATTAGTAGCAGAGTGTAGAGCTTAAAGAGATGAATAAACACAGTTCTACATACGTTTTGGCAAGAAAATAATGCTCCATGTCAAAACACATGACCACATTTTTAAAAAATAAAGTCAGATTTATGGAACTGTACAAATATAGTGACAGTTTCTACAAGAACATACCAAACAATAAAACTTCAAAAACGGAACACTCTAGCATGAACAGGGAAGCCACATTAAGTGTTTGAGTTGTACCAGAAAAAGGAGAAAAATACTTGTAGTTCCCTACTCCAACACAATTCACTACCAAATGCAATGGTGGTCCATTTTAAACACACATATGTTACCTGCATTTTATGGACGCAGTTGACATCAGGTAAGACATTTTACATAAATTTGACAGTGTTTGGTTCTTTTCAATCATAGCAAAGAACATCAAAAAGAAGATCCAGATCAGGAACAAAAAAAAACAGAACAATTGGTGGTCCCAATATCAGGAAAATGAAGATAAGAAATTCATGACCCCAGTTACTTCAGTACTTATCAAACACTACAAGTTGCCAATTTTCAAACATATATATTACTACCTAGCTAGTAACAAATGAAAGGAAAAATAGAAAATGTGAACGCACCTCGTTAAAACCATGTTGAGCCTCTATAACAAAAGTTGAATAAAGAGAGAACGACAAGTCCATAATTTGCATTTCATATGCATTACTGTTTCACATCAGTAGTGCATTAGTACTCTAAATGAGAAGTAGTTTTTCCTCTCCATAATAGAACAATTGGAGATATACTTATTTCTTATTTGAAATCAAGGACAGAATCTGCAGGCATGGTACTTGGAGAATGGATCTGGGCACATACCATTGGATTCCTGGAGGATGGGTGCAGCAACTCATCTCGTTTGGGATTCCTGGCGGAGGACGGCAGCAGCTTGTCGTGATTCCTTGAGGAGGGTCGGAGAGGGGCAGCATCTCGTCCTGATCGACCTACTGCGCAGCAGCTGCAGCCGTATGCCTATGCAAGCTAGCAGAATCAAACATTTGGATTTGGGGATGGGGCTAGTGTGTGGAGGAAGGTTCCTGTGATGGACGAAACTTGGGGGCGCCGATGTGGAGGCGGCGCGGGCGCGAGGAGCGGGATTCACGATGAAGTCTTCGGCGCCGGCGTTCAGGCATCTACTCCGAGCAAGCAGCAACGGGAGCGGCCGACCAGGGTAGCAGCGTCGCCCTTCGCCACGCCTCCATCGCCGCCAGACACGGACGCGCAGAAGCAGCTGAAAAGGCACCCAATCATCCCCCGCTCCTCCTCGTCCATGCGGCTGCCGCGCGCCCTAGATTCCGCCCCGCGCCGGAGTGTCAGACGAAAGCGACCACCAGTCGGACTGATCTGTGGCTGCCCACCGCCGCCCTCCCTTCACCGCTAACCCCAGGCAATGGCGATCTATGCCGCCGCGCCCAGTGTCGTGCCCCTCGTGGCCCTGCGTGCGTGTCTGCGTACTGCGTACCCAACCGTCGCCGACCCTGGGCAGTGGCGACCTGCGCCGCCGCGCCCAGTGCCGTGCCCCTCGTGGTCGTCGTGCCCTCTGCAGTGTGCCGTCTCGCCGCTTCCTGTGCCATCGGCCTAGGATTCAAATGATCGTGGACAGGGGCAACCGAAATCAACGCAAGCCTGACCTGCAGGCGCATGCGCGTGGGAGGTCCGCGGGAGGGCGATGGAGGGCAGACACACTAAACAAGAGCCGTCAGATTTGGATGAGTAATGAGAGAGTGGCTAAGAGATAATCTGGTGCATCCGTTTTGATAGTGTTATATTTTTTTGGTACATTCATGTGTGTGGATGTAGCATAAGTCATGGCTGTGGAGCAGACATTTGTTGTGTGGCTGTAGATTTATTCTAACTGGTGTATTATAGGGTGGGGTAGAAAAAGACGTGTGCACCCATGGCTATGAACTGCTAGTGGAGATACGCATACACTAGTGGTGGACTTAAGAAAAGTGCCTGTGTAAATTATGTTCCAAATGCATTGATCACTTATGAATATCTGATGACTAAATTTCTTTTTAGATTTATCGTTGCTACCCAAATGATAGGTCTCTCAACGATGGAGACATTAGATACATATGCATTCACATGTGCCAATTCGTCATACGTGAAATTGTTTTTTTTTTTAAATTGTTCATTACAAAGGAAAATATTGATGAAACCTCTAAGTTAGCACAACCAAGATACAGAGACCTTCATGATATTGTGTTAGGCTAGATTTGATTAAAAATGATTATTAGTGGATTCTAACATTTTAAGACTTGATGCAACATATGAATTCAATCCTTCATTGTATATATATGTTCGGTTTGATGTATATATACTTGATCGATAACTATGGTACACTGGGATATGTATTGGTGCTTGTGGATACATGAAAATATAATTGTGTGATGTATATTTGTTATGCTATTATAATTGGCCATGATGATTATTTGAATTTGAATAGGGTATGATTAAGTAGTAACTGGTACTCATGGTTGGCGGTCCTTAACTACTATTTCTAACCGCCAACTCTTACATAAAACCTACTAAAATAAACACCAAACTTAGAATTAGTACTTGTAACTAATCAATTCCACGAGTTTTGGTGATTTACCATTTACAGAAGGACATGTCGGAATAACATGGAAAATGTGCTTAAAGTACACAAAGAATACAACAAAACACAAACCCGACATGAGCCCAAGGGGGAAGGCCCATTTGCCCGAAGAATCAGGGCCCAGTCATGTGGAGAATAAGCCCAAAACCAAATCAAATCAACTCAACTCTGCGCCAAACCACCATGGGCCAAGACAAGAAACCCACAGGAGGCAACCCACCGAAGATGGGCACGTTTGGGCCCAGCCAGGGTGCAGCTGCACCACCAGTCAGCCCAAACAACCCCATCTTACGTGGGCTTCCTCTTACCGACGTTCCAAAGGTGGTTCATGGGGTTTGGTCCAGGTGCAACGTACCTATACGTCAGTTTGGTGCACTAATGAGGGGATCAAGCATATTCCAAGGAATCAACCCCTCCTCTCCACCTATAAAAAGAGGCTCCCCCTTATCATTTCAACAACACACCAAGGAGAAGAGCTACACCACTAGAGAAATAAGAGCATCACTCCAAGGGCTTAGGCCCTAGCTAGCTAGAGTTGTGTAGTAGGGAGAGATGTGAGGGAGAGGATGGGGAAGCATCGAACCTGTTGGCAGTCTCCCCAAGGTTGTACCTCGACGAACACCTATACGTCAACGGGTTCTCCCGCTAAGTGAGTGTTCGTGATTCTTATGGTTATAAGTCCATTGAATAGTAAAGTTTTACTTTTACTTGTTTGCCGGTACGTCGTCCGCTCTTGTAGCAGATACTCTAGTAGAGGGCTTCTGATAGAGACGGATAACCCTATACGATGCTAGAGTAGTAATCGATAGCGTAGACGTGGTGTCTAGACTAGAGGCTACCTTCATTTGCCTCGTGCCCCACGGTTGAGGGGTAGGCGACAGGTGGTGACAGTACTGTCTGTCCCTTGTAATCCCCCATGTTCGGATTCGGCGTAGAGCTACAGGACGGCCACGCTTGGGAGACCAGGTGTTCTCAGATGCCTGAAGTAAGCGAGTAGAAGTGAAGTTTATCTATCCATAGACCTTAAAGTCATAGGAATCCATCTCAACCTCTACCAAATCTACCCTTTTGTTGTCCTTGGATGAACTAGCTAGAAGAGTACCTCCATTCCCTGTGGAAAATACGATACCATGAATACTTTCGGGTGAAATGCTACAACGGTAATTCCGTGCGCTTGCAGATCATTTATGTTTGCGTTAAGAAAATACCAACACTAATATGACGGAAAACATTTGAATTTTTTAAATATTTTTATATGTGATTTATTTTACTTGGCCACGTCTGAAATTAACTAACAGAGGTAGTTGTATTACATGAATCATCTATATAAAGATCCAAAATGTGCCACTATTCGAAACCATTTCTATACTACTGGATGCATTATAGGTATCTGAAAATAGATGGTTTGTTGAGGTAGTCAAAAAACCAAACCTATAAATTTATTTCTAAGAGTGACTAGAAACAACACTCGCTCCTACGGAGTAGAACTCAATTCTTAAAGGCGGCTTAAAACATGCGCCTCCTCTATAAATGGATTAGAAAACCCCCAAAAAAAATTGACATCGTGGTCTGTGCCCATCCATCGTGACCATTGTTGTGCCGCCACAACGACGCGTCGAAGCACCACCACGTGCAATGTGGCGATCACGACAGTACATGTGGGTGTGCCAACACCATTGTACGCACACGTGCGCTAAGCCTACCATTGTTGGGCCTGTGCCGCCACTCCTGAGCTAGGGCTATCTTCGGGACGATGAGGTCTCTAAGCCAGGGCCCCGGTACCATGCATCTGAGGTCACAGTGCCAGATCGAGTTGAGCCCGTGCCTTCGATCCTGTGCCCACACCATTATCAGTGGTTGTGCCCTTCGCGTTGCCTTTTGAAATCTCGCTCAAGCCAGAGAGAAGGACGTGAAGAGATAAGGCGGAAGGAAAGAGATAAAAGAGAGAATTGAAGAGATAAGAAAGAATAAGGTGGGTCTACACATACAAGCGCATGCATCGCCTCAATTTTGAAGTAATGCCCATGCCATGGGTAGACTGCAAAATTGTCTTTAGAAATGGGCATTTCTAGAGGCGGATGGTGTTAATGTCAGCCTTAAATAATGAAGCTAATTGTAGAGGCAGTCTATAACACTACCTATCTCTAGAAATATATTTCTAGAGACAGCTCGTGATCTGGGAACCGATGGATAAAAATAAGAACCTTTATGAAGAATAATCATGATGCCTTTGAAATTTGCTTATGTAGTAGTGATAGTAAATTTAACAAAACTAATTTGATGTTGTAGACATTGGAGTATTTTTTTATAAACTTGATAAAATTTAGAGAAGTTTGATTTAAAATAGATCTAAAGTGAACTATAATTTGGATTGGACTGAGGCTACAGGCAGCTAAGTCCATTAGGCCAAGATGGGGTGATGGCCATGTCCATGTCCATGTGTTCCATCGTGCAAACAGCCTATAAAAAGAGTGCAAACAGCCCGTGCTCAGTCTGTGCGTGCGATAGATTGTCATTGTACATATATATACCGTGTTCACCTCTAGACTAGCTAGACAAATCGTGTTTGTCTGGCCCTGGTTATAGAAGTTAGAACCCTGCAAAAATGGCGTTCAATGATGATGAAGAGCCTCCTCCGGCGAAGCCTGGGACGGCGAGGCCGATGCAGCAACAAGTGCAGCTCACCAAGTACCACAACTCAAAGGCGCCACTCGCCCCCAACGACCAGAAGGTGGTGCTCGAACTCAAGGGCGTCTCCTCCGCCGCCTCTAGAGCACCGCTGGACCTCGTCGCCGTCATTGACGTCAGTGGAAGCATGGAGCGTGGAGGCAAGCTCGAGAATGCGAAGAAAGCACTCCGCTTCATCACCCGGAAGCTCACCAACCATGACCGCCTCAGCATCGTCCGATTCGACCACGAGGCCGCCCGCGTGTGCCCTCTGCGCTGCGCCACCGAGGCCGCCCATGCTGAGCTCGACGCCCTCGTTGGCAGCCTCGAGCCCCGCGGCGCCACCAACATCCAGGCGGGCCTCGAGACCGGCCTCGACGTCCTCAGGGAGCGCAGGTTCTCCACCGGCCGCGCCGCCAACATCATGCTCATGTCCGACGGCGGGCAGAACGAGGGCGACGCCAGGAAGGTCGAGCCCGGCGACGTGCCCGTCCACACCTTCGGCTTCAGCTCCGGCCACGACACCACGCTGATGGACGCGATCGCGAAGAAGAGCCTCGGCGGGGTGTACAACTTCGTGGACGACGAGAGCGACAGACCCACCAACCTCTCCGAGACCTTCTCCCAGGTCCTGGCCGGCCTTGTCACCATCATTGCCCAGGACCTGGAGCTCACCGTCACGCCGTTCCTGGACGAGGCCACCATTAGCAAGGTGGACGCCGGTTCCTACCCTGTGGACATGGGCACCGCCACAGGCACAGGCGGCTCCTCCTCCAACTCCGTCACCGTCAGGTTTGGCACCCTGTACTGCACGGAGGCGCGGAAGGTCATCGTCGAGCTCGCGCTCAAGGACCACACCGCGTTCCGCCCGTACAACGCCAACGTCGCCGACGTACGGCACAGGTTCAGCTTCGCGGGCCAGCAGGTCACCTCAAACCCCGAGCGGATTACCATACGCCGCAGCAGAAGAGCAGCCGTCGCGCTACCGCGGCAAGTGCAGGCCGAGGTGGCCCGGCGGCAGCACGCTGACTCTATCAAGGCGGCCATGGAGAAGGCGGACGGCGACAAGTTGGAGGACGCGCGGAGCATACTGGCAGAGGCGCTGAAAGCGCTGGAGCGCATCGCTGACCCCATGGTGGACATGCTCCGGAAGGAGCTGCTGAAGCTTCTGGAGCTCTTCAAGACGCCGGATGCCTACGAGAGGCAGGGCCGCCCCTCTGCCATGTCCTCGGTCGCCTCCCACGACCGCCAGCGGTTCACGGCCAGGGGCGACGCCGAGGACATCCGGATCTTCGCCACGCGACGCATGGACACCTACCTCGGCCAGGCCAAGCAGCCCGATGATAAACCGATTCCATCCGCCGACGACGATGTCCAGGAAGAGCCGCCGGAGGTGCCGCAAGCGCAGGACATGCCAGCTGAGCCAATGGCCGGGAAGAGGACGCTGGCGGTGGCGCTTCGACTGGTCACGGTGGTGCTCAGCCTGCTGGCCTTCTCGATCATGGCCAGCACAAGGACGTCCGCGTGGAACGCCGGCCGCTACGAGCCGTACAGGTTGGTCACCGCTTTGCCTGCACGCTGCTATTTCCTTTTCCTTTTCCTTTTTCTGTTTTCGTCACTTTTTACTCGTATATTTAAGAGGACTTAGTACTTTTTACAAGTTTTTTACGGAACTACTGGTGGGTATTTAGCTGTGAGCACCGAACGAAATTGACGAGAGGTCAAATTAGTAGAACAAGGGAGGGAGAGGAGGGTAGTTTTTCAATTCGTTGCAATGGAAGGACTTTGCAATTCTCATGCCCGTAACAAAAACACACACACACAAAATTTCCTATCCTTATTTGCTGTGGGGACTCGTTTCCAAAATACGTAGTCTAATATGCATATACTACTTAGAGAATTAAGACCTAAGGAATTGAGGCCCATCTAGCAAGTTTTCCATCTATCCAATCCGAGACGGTCGATTTTGTTACGAACGACGTATAGGAATATGAAGTAAAGAATCAAGCCACAGAGGAGACACACGATTTAACATAGAAAACCCCTCCAATGTGAAGGGGAAAAACTACGGGCACCAGCCAGCAACAATCTCACTATCTCAAGAGTTTTGGGTTACACGCCTATGGCGGCTTACAAGAGAATCAAGTCTCCACGAAACCCTAGCAAGGGTGTATATACCGTACTGCATCAGACAGATTTGCGGGGCTCCGCCCCCCGCACCCCCCCGAGCACAGGGGCGAGACCTGATGGGCCGGCTTCAGACTCCGCTACGCTCCGCCCCAAACCTCCGGCGACAGGCCTCCGCTCCACTCCGTCAGAAAAAGCCCCGCCTATATCCTGGAGTGAATTTGGAACAACTCCAACAAACTCCACCTTGAGACAAATTCATCTTGTATCATAAATCAACCATTCATCCTGAATATAACAAAGATAGAAAACCACTGGTGCCAACAATAATCTCTTGGACTATCCAATTAAACCAACTAAGCTTGAGCATAGCTCAAACTTAGCAACAGAAACAGGCTTTGTCATCATATCAGCAGGATTATTATGAGTACTAATCTTGCATACCTTTAGCTTACCTTCTTCAATCACATCACGCACAAAATGATACTTGATATCTATGTGCTTAGTTCTCTCATGGAACATCTGATCTTTAGTGAGGTAAATTGCACTTTGACTGTCCACAAAGGCAAACTTATGCAAGATTCAACTCCACAAAGCTCAAATAGACAAACCTTTCAGCTAAATTAATTCTTTTGCACGCTTCACAAATAGCCATATATTCTGCTTCAAAGAGTAGACAAAGCAACAATCGATCGTAAAGTAGCCTCCAACTCACAAAGACAATGGCCAACAAGAAACACATAACCTGTAAGTGATCTTCGCCTGTCCAGATCAGCAGCATAATCAGAATCCACATAGCCAATAAGACCCTTATCAGTTCTTCCAAACTTTAAACAGGAATCTGCTGTGCCTCTGAGGTACCTGAAAATTCACTGAACTGCCCTCCAATGTTCTTTGCCAGGATTAGACATATATCTACTAACAAGACTCATAGCATATGACAAATCTGAACGAGAGCAAACCATGGCATACATCAAAGACCCAACAGCACTAGAATAAGGAACCCTTGACATGTATTCAATCTCTGCATCTGTACTAGGACACTGAGCAACTGACAACTTAAAGTGAGGTGCAATAGGGGTACTAACAGCCTTAGCATTTTGCATGTTGAAACGCTGAAGAACTTTCTTGATATAATTTTGTTGACTAAAAAATAGCAAACCAGATTTTCTGTCTCTACTAATTTTCATACCAAGAATTTTCTTAGCACTACCAAGATCTTTCATATCAAAACCACTACTCAATAGCTTCTTTAACTTAATGATTTCAATCTTACTCTTGGCAAAGATCAAGATATATCATCAACATATAACAAAGAAATATATAGGTGATCCATTAACATGCTTGATGTAAACACACTATCATACTTAGATCTTTTAAAACGTGTGCTAACATAAATGAATCAAACCTCTTGTTCCAATCGACGAGGGACTGTTTCAAACCATACAAGGATCTCTTCAACTTGCACACATATTTTTCCTTACTGTGCACTATGAACCCTTCCGGTTGATCCATGTATATGTCCTCCTCAAGCTCTCCATGCAAAAACGCAGTCTTCACATCTAACCGCTCAAGCTCAAGATCATGTGAAGCAACAATACTAAGGAAAGTACTGAATTGAACTGTGTTTTACCACTTGAGAGAACACATCATTGTAGTCAACACCGAATTTGATTGTAGCCTTTAGCAACTAACCTTGCCTTATACTTTGGAGGCTCGCTTGGAGATAAACCTCCTTTCTCTTGAAGATCCATTTGCAAAATTTATGGTCTTCTTATTCTTAGGCAAAGGTACAATCTCCCATGTACTCGTTCTTCTCAAGAGATCAGATCTCCTCATGCATAGCAGAAATCCAATTCTCAAGATCACCACAACGAATAGCTTCTTTATAGGTTCTTTGGCTCATGAACATTCTCCACTGTTCAAAGACAACTCAAAGCATAGTAAGACAAATTACACTCTTCAATAAGCCGCTTAGGAGGTGCAATTATCCTTTTGACTTGCGTTGAGCAATAGGTAAATCCTCCTCTAACTGCAAAATAGGAGGAGTTTGTCAACATCATCATGAGCATCATCCTCAAAGCAACATCATTATCATGGTCACCATGCTCATCAACAGCTCCACACACACACCAGATCATCATCAACATGCTCCACCTGCATGCGCCAGACGTCTGCTGCAGCTCTTTTTCTGGAACATGATCTGAGGGCAAACTGTCAGTAAACATCACAGATTCATTGAAAACAACACTCCTGCTCATAAAAGTCTTTCCTGTTTCAGGATTCCACAATTTATAGCCTTTGACTCCCGAACTATAACCAAGGAAAAGACACTTAACAGCTCTAGGCTCTAATTTTCCATTATCAACATGAGCATAAGCAGTGCATCCAAAAACTTTCAACTGTGAATAATCAGCAGGCGTACCAGACCATACCTCAATGGGAGTTCTTTTATTTAGTGGAATAGAAGGCGACCTGTTTATCAAGTAACAGGCAGTATTAGCAGCTTCAGCCCAAAAATGCTTGCTCATCCTGGCATTAGACAGCATGCAACGGGCCTTGGACATGATGGTTCTGTTCATGCGTTCGGCCACACCATTCTGTTGTGGAGTATGGGGTATGGTGTGATGCCTAACAATGCCTTCCGATCTGCAATAATCATTAAATTCACGCGAACAAAATTCTCCACCATTATCAGTACGAAGCAATTTTACCTTCCTTTCAGTTTGCCTTTCTATCATTACTTTCCAGTCCTTAAAAGCAGCAAAAGTATCATCTTTCTGTTTCAGAAAATAAGGCCAAACCCTTCTAGAGTAATCATCAATAATTGTAAGCATGTAACGAGCACCACCAAGTGAGGACTTACGGGAAGGGCCCCATAAATCAGCATGAACATAATCAAGAGTACCTTTAGTGGTGTGAACAGAAGTGTTGAAATGTACCCTTTTATGCTTCCCGAAAATACAATGCTCACAAAACTTTATTTTACTCGAAGTGCAGCCATCCAGCAGGTTTCTCTTCATCAATTCTGCCATACCATGGTGACTCATATGTCCCAAACGCATATGCCAAAGGTTAGTTTTACTAGGTTCATCATTAGTAACAGCAGCAACAGCGGAATCAGAACCTGGTAAAGTACACCCTCTAAGGTCATATAACTTTGCAGAATTAAGATCACCTTTCAAGCAAACAAGAGAACCTTTTGATACCTTCAGAACGCCATCTGAACCGGAATATTTGTAACCTTCTGCATCAAGCGTGCTCAATGAGATAAGATTTCTGGACATCCCTGGTATATACCTGACGTTTTTCAGCGTTCGTGTCATGCCATCATCAGTCTTGATCTGAACTGATCCAATCCCCACAATGTCACACGGGTTATCATCTCCCATCCGCACAACATCCCCTTTCTACACAGGCTTATACGAGCTAAACCAATTTCTATTAGTGCAAATATGAAATGAACATGCGGAATCGAGAATCCATTCATCATGACCAGCAACACAACCAGCAAATACTACTAGACAATCTCCAGAATCATCATCAGACGCAGCAGCAGCAACAGAGACCTTACCAGCCGACTTGTTTTTCCTCTTCTCCTTATTCTGTACTTTTCTGCAATCCTCAACATTATGATTTGTCAGCTTGCAATAAACACAGAACTTTTTATTACCATGCGGCTTGGACTTTGAACGGCCTCTCCTTTCGTAGTTCTTTCTTCCATCATTGCCATCATTGGAGGATCTGTTTTCAGTTCTGCCTCTCACATGCAAAGCATCGCCCTTGGAGGACGACGTCCCGTCATTCTGCACCATGCCTCTCATCTTCTCCCTAGACTAGAGAGCCTCATAAACTTCCTTTAGGGTTAGTTCATCACGGCTCAAAAGTATGGTGTCACGAAAATTTGCATACGAATTTGGCAAAGAACATAGCAGTAAAAGACCTAAGTCCTCATCATCATACTTCACCTCCATCGACACTAGGTCGGCGACGATCTTCTTGAATTCAGCGATGTGGCTCATCACTGAATCCTCCTCCTTCATCTTAAGGGTGAACAGCTTCATCTTCATCTACATCTTACTGGTTAGATCCTTGGACATACAGATCGATTTTAGTTTCAGCCATAGTTCTGCAGTAGTTTTCTCTTTCAAACACTCCTGCAAAATATCATTATGAAGATGCAACTGAATTAGGGCGAGCGCCTTCTGATCCTTGCGGATCTCTTCTGGAGTCCACTCGGCCTTCCTCTTTCCGAAACTATCCAGCGCCTCATCATAGTCATGAGTCTGCGCCAGAATCCCCCGCATCTTGACTTGCCATAGCGAGAACCGCGTGTCGTAGTTCAGCAGTGGAAGATCGAACTTCATCGACGTCGTCATGAACCCTAACAGCAACCAAAGCTCCGGTACCACTTGTTACGAACGACGTATAGGAATATGAAGTAAAGAATCAAGCCACAGAGGAGACACACGATTTAACGTGGAAAACCCCTCCAATGTGAAGGGGAAAAACCACGGGCACCAGCCAGCAACAATCTCACTATCTCAAGAGTTTTGGGTTACACGCCTATGGCGGCTTATAAGAGAATCAAGTCTCCACGAAACCCTTGCAAGGGTGTATATACCGTACCGTACCGCGGGGGCTCCGCCCCCCGCACCCCCCGAGCACAGGGGCGAGACCTCATAGGCCAGCTATGCTCCCGCGATGGGCCTCCGCTCCACTCCGTCAGAAAAGCCCGGCCTATATCCTGGAGTGAATTTGGAACAACTCCAACAGATTTAAAATCGCTCCTGAAAATAGATTTTAAGAGACTATCGATTTAACACAACTGCTCTTGAAAATATTTTTTCAAGGACGGTTGCTAACCGTCCCTAACAACATGTTTCTAGATACTATTGCCCTAGCGCAAATGCTCTTCAAAACTTCTTTTTCAGTGGCGATTGCAATAAGACAAGAGATTTAAATAAAAAAGTTGTTTTTTTTGTGAATTAATAAAAAAAGTTGTTGGCGGGTATTTTTATCAACTACGAAGGATCCAAAGAGGCTCTTGGAGTTGCTATAATTAATATATTTGTACATTCAAAAGATAGAAGCCTAAAAGACCAGCATCTCATCATGGAATTAATATATTTCCATACAAGGAATATATATTTCACATACGTGCTAAATAGATTTATTATATGTTCAAAAGCAAGAAGTGAATGAGGCCCATGAAGCCAAAATGAAGCCTCTAAACAAATAATTATTGCATATGTTCTATCCATGATAATAAGTCAATTGTACACGGCTTTCTATTGTTGGATACTATAAATACTCAAGCTGTATCAAAAAAGGTTATTGGAGATCTAATCAAAAAAGTGTTATTGTAGGATATTTTTTTCAACAAAATCTCTATTGGTATTCAATTAAAAAGAATATAAAGGGGCTCTTGGAGTTGCTCTAATTAATATATTTATATATACATTTGAAAGATAGAAGCCTGAAAGACCAGCATCTCATGATCGAATTAATAGATTTCCATATAACAAATATATATTTCACATACATGGTAATTGGATTTATATGTTCAAAAGAAAGAAGTGACTCGGGCCCATGAAGCCAAAATGAAGCCTCTAACCAAATAACTATTGCATTTGTTCTATCCATGACAATAAGGGCCTGTTTGGATCCCCTCTAAATTTTAGAGCTCTAAAAACTTTAGAGCACTTTAACTCAGTTTTAAGGTCTAAATCTCTAATGTGAGGTGGGCTAAAATTTTGAGCTAACTTTCGACTATCTGTTTGCAGATTTAAGCTCTAAAGTTTAGAGTGGATCCAAACAGGCCCTAAGTCTATTGTTCACGGTTTTCTTTCTTTGGGATACTGTGCTCAAGCTGTATCTCAAGGAAGATATCAGATATTGTCCGATAAAAAAAAATCATTTATCCGACAAATATCTCTAGTAGTTTGTAAAACCTAATTAATTTCGCTTCTCAGATCCTGAAATGATGCATGTGGCATGGCAGGTACGCCGTCGGAGTGAATGTGGTGGTCTGCTTCTACTCGATCGTGCAGGCATTTGCCGTGATCCGGCCTCTAATCTGGCCGAGTTCTATGTCGCGGAGCACCTCAACGTACTTCAGCTGCTGCAGCCTCTTCTTCGACCAGGCAGACACAACGCAAATCTAGCTTCCAGCGAGACTCACTTGCTGGTGTAAGTAACCGATCTAGTACATACATACCGTTGCTGAAGGAAATAGTTTCGCTGGCAGGTATTGGCGTATCTGCTGGTATCGGCTTCGTCGGCAGCTGCGTCTCGCAACCATCAGTGGGTGTCGAGGTTCGGCACGGACCAATTCAGCAGCAAGATCAACATCGCCGTGTGGTTTTCGTTCCTTGGGTTCCTTGCGCTGTCCGCCAACGCGCTCATCTCCATGGCTAATCTATTCAGCAGGATCTGAGAAACTGATGCCGCTCAGCTCGTATGTTTAGCAGTGTTGCAGTAGTACGTATATTATTGCATTGCAAATTAGTCGTAAATAAACGTACGTATATACAAAATCCTATACGCTGCTCTGAGTGTGCACAAGCCGGCCAGAACACTGCCAATAAAGATACTACTCTGCAATTTGGTAAGTAGCTGTCGGTTCAGGGGTTTTTATTTTATAAAAACTGTGTAATTTGTGTCCTATTGATCAGCTTCCATGTTTACGTTGTATATCATTGATGTTTGATGCGTTGTTTTTTTTAATCAGGCTTGGCTTTCTTTTTTGTTTTCGTTAGTTTCTTTCTCCAATGTGCCCTAGGTATTTTTTAACTAATTTGCTGCCTATATATGCATTGCAACGGAATGACTAACTTTGTAGTTAAGGGGTGTATAAGAATTGGTAGGGGCGATAACAGGATCAATATTTTCAGACCATCTGTTTGTCCGAAAGCTGGTTTGGAATGGATACTAGTCGGATAGGAAATTTCAGATATCCAGGTTTTTTTTGTCAATACCGGCCAGATATGGATACAGATACCAATATTGGATATTATTGATGCCAATTGTGGATCATTAAAATCAGATACTGTTAATGTTTCCTACTGTTAATTTGTAAATTTATAGTCATGCATTTGCTCGGATGGCTTAGCACTCGAAGACTCAACATCTATACTAGTTCAGTTAATCGTGCCCTACGTCTCGTGTTTCTGAGCACCAAGTGCTGTCCTCAAAATTTAGACTAGGGGTTACAAACAGATGTGGATCAGAGCTAATTAAGAGTGCTAATGAGTCGAAAGGGTTCAAAAATACATAGGTGCCAAGAAGAAAGAAAGGTATATATTCAAGAGGTAGGGTTAAAAAAAAGTAGTGGGTCCCAAATGTGGGTTGATCTTGGTGGTGGCCTAGTGCTGAGGTCATGTCCTTCTGTTCTCCTTCCCATTCAAGGCCATGGTGGAGGGCATGGGGATCTATTGCGCCAATACGCACCCACGTCGTGGTTTCTCCGACAACACTGCCACCGTTGCTTTTAAGGCCTGTCCTATTCTCCTACTCCATGGAGAGTTGTTGCATAACATGCCCTGTTCTTCGTACCAGAAGAAGCATAGTACCATCAACTATGACAGCATAATTATTTGACTAACGTGTGTTTTGTAGAGACATTACAAGTTAGGTCACAATAATGATTCATGGTTGGGCAATCAATGGATTTCATGCATGAATTTCGTTTCGGTTTTCAAAGGATGGACGACAAGGTTAAGGTCGAAATAGTTCTAAGTGTCAATTGGAGTTGGGAGATACTTAGAGTAGTTTTAGGACTTTGTTTTTCCTTCGACCATAATATAAAGAAGGGTACGAACTAGTAGCTTGACCTAGTTGATTCTAATGAGTTAGTCTGATGCATACTTGTGAAACTTAGCACTAGATAGCTCTATGAAAGCCCAAGAATCAAGTGGTAGTGTTTCCATTCACATAGATGGTGGAATTGAAAGTGAATGGGCACTTTTCTGTACCACCAGATTAGTCCGGTGCTATGACCAAGGAGGCACCGGACTATGTGCTGCAGATATCATCGGACTATGTGCTATAGTACCCTAGCTAGGGTTTGCTGTGTAGAGAGGACGAGTAGTCACGGTGCTGTCTAGTAAGCGACTAGAGAGGTATTTTGGGCACTGGATTAATTTGGTAGTGGGCACCAGACACTGCATTTCTGCACTGCTTGCACTGTAGTAACAACGCCTAGTTTCGAAAGTAGTCGTTGGACAGGTACTGGATTGATCCGGTGCTTGGTTCAAACACGCGCTAGGTCATCCGATCGGCGACCCTGATTTCTATGTAGTGGGGTTCCAACAGCTAGCTCTGGGTGTTAGGGGTATTTATACCTCTCCATCTCAAACATAGAAGTGCTCTCTTGCCATTTTGGACATCTAGTTACACTCATTGGTGAGCAAGGGGTGTTCAAGCTTAGTGAAGTGATTGGGAATTGCTAATTACAAGAATAAGGACTCTATTAGTACTTGGGGAGTAACAAGTGTGCATCCACTAGTCTCATTTGCTTGGTTAGCTCACATGAGAGTTTGTGCTTGTTATTGTTGGTGATCGGCATCACCTAGATGGCTTGGTAGTGATTGGGAGATTGGTGTTCTCTCGATGGAGCTTGTGAAATACCTAACTCATGGTGTAAACAGTTGTGGGTGATTCAGCATACCAGAGTAGCGAAGAATCAACCCGTAGAGAGCACTTGGTCCTTGCACGGATCAAGGGGGAGCTATACCCTTGAGTGGGTGCTCCAATGAGGAATAGTGGGGAGTGCCGATTCTCTGATACCTCAGAAAAATATCGCCATGTCCCTAACCCTTTCTTTACTTTGAGCATTTACATTTTTGCAATTACTTTCTTGTCTTTACATTCTTAGTATTGCCTTGCTAGTATAGGTTTGGAACTAGGGTGCAAAACTTTGTGCATAGGATAGAAACACAATCTAGACACAGAGGGTGAAATGCGCTAAGAGCTAGGTTTTAATTTTGTGAGAATTTTAGATTAGCCCAATTGGCCCCAACCCCCCTTGGCTAGTTGCTTCGTGGGGGCTATATATACCCTC